CACCACACCAAGGGTTGTGATCCCCTTACCGGTCACGAAAAAGACAAAAAAAAAAAAAGTAAGGAAGACATGAAAATCAGACCTGCCCACCATATTTATCGCCAACCATTGAAAACATCTTTGTGTGATCTTATATTTCATTGCATTTGATAACAATAAAATTACTTAGAAGGCAAATGACTTGTTTGACAAGCTATTTAAAAATTGTAAGTAGATGAATTTTTGGCAGCTATTGCTGCAGCTTGTCTATGATCTTTCTCTTCAATCTCTAATTTGTTATATAGTCTCTATCCTTGATTAAGGTGCTTTATATACAGGAAATCTATCTATTATCTTGTATCTACAGTGCCTAATCCAGTGCCAGCTGTATAGCAGGTGATCAATAAATGCTTATTGAATAAGTAAAAGACTTAAGGCATTCCTATAAGTAAGATAGGCAAAATGTAACTGGCTAAGCTTCATCAATTTTATTTTGACTTAAGCAAGGTGAAATGAACAGGTAAATATAATTTGGGTAGCTGAGGACAAAGATCTTATCTTCATTTCATTCTTAGCCATCTTGCTGTACATTTCAGAGTCAGAGGACTAAATGGCAAGGAATTAGTGGCAAGAATGGCATAGAACAGTTGTACTGCATTTTGTCAACTATTTTCTATTGCAGAGCTTAGCAGTTGTCACTCCTTTCACATTTCAATTTCCCAACTGTAATAAGGCTACAAATGTGCAATCTTTCCATTCAGATGAGGCTGAGTTTCTATTCATGTAATCAAAACCCAAGTTATCATGAATTAAGTCATGTGCCATTCAAGAATGCAATATTCACATTTACGAAAGAATTAATATGTGCGGCTACATTGCCTTTAACAAATTATTATTAGGCAGGGTATGAAATGCATTGGTAAGAAATACTTAACAGATGATACTATGACAATGTGCTATTAAGCACGTTACTGTAATGTCAATATTATTAAACCTATGTACCCAGTTAATCCATGAATATAAATTACTTTTGAATCAGCCACACTTCATTATTTATTAGGTTGAGTGTAATAGCTATAACTATTCCTTCGAGGCAACCTAAGGGCATGTCTCCATCAAAACTGTAGCCTAGAGAACCATTGAATTCAGATCTTACCTAATGGTGAGTCCCTCAGGCACTGTTTCTTCAGACCATTTTGTTGAATGTGACTAAAAGATGTGATTATTTTCCAGCACAAATTGATAGCCACAATAACTATTACTATAATTTCTTCATGACTACGAGTTACCTGGCACTGTAGCCTAGTACTCTTCATATACTGTTGCAAATTATCCTCCAAATTCTGTAATATATTATTCCCAAATACAGTTGGAAGAAACTATAGTAAAGAAAGATTAGAAAGGAAACCATCTGAAGTGTCAAGGCTTTAGTGCAAATACTTGGGACGAAACTCAGTTGTCTTTGGCACCAGTCACAGATTTTTACATAGGACTGAATTATGCAATAAGCCATTGAAGTTTG